CCGACTCGTCAAAAGTGATGTCCTGAGAGGGGAAGACACGGCGCGAGGTGGGGTGGTAAAACTGCCAGCCAGGCGCGTCAGGGACAAAGCCAAGAAAGACGCAGTGAATGGCACGGGAGGAGAGCTTGTCCGCAGACGTATCGCGGACAAAGGCTCGACATCCCCAGACTCGGAACACCGACGCATAGCCAACCTTCCCTGTCCAACGAAGTGTGGGCGATATCTCCGGAGCAGAGACACGGGGCCAGAGGTTGAGCTGATGCGCAGCGTACTGCACTGCAAATGGCCACAGGAAATGGGGGGCAGCCGCATGGATCATGGAGGTACGAGCGACCTCCATGACTAAGCCAATGCGGCGCTCAGCAATCCCATTCTGCTGTGGAGAGGCCGGAAGTGTGAACGTCTGGCGAATGTCGTGCTCCGCACAGTAGGCTGCCAAGAGGTCGGAGGAAAACTCACCACCCCTGTCAGAGTGCAAACGCAGGACTAAAAAGTCCAACTGGAACCAGTCGCGGAGCTGGAGACGAGCAGCGTGGATCCAAGGGATCAAAACATCAGGGACCTCACCCTTGGTGCGCAAGGGGAAGACCGTGGTGTAGCGCGTGTAGTCGTCGACGACCAGCAGGAAGTACCGCTCGTGGCCCTGTCCACGGACGCGGGCTGGGCCCCACACGTCCAGGTGGAGAGTCTGCAGAGGAGCCTCTGTGGGAGGGAACGAGGAGGAGTGAGGAGTGGCGCGCTGCCGCCCCTCGACACAGGGAAGACAGGGAGGAGCAGGCGAGGGTGGGAGAGGAGGGAGAACCCTGGGAAGACCAGAGACAAGGTACCGGGAGTGCATGCCACGAAGGCGCTGCACTGAAGGGTGACCAAGGCGGTGGTGCCAGAGGACGGTCTGGTGCAACAGGGTGCGACACGAGCAGGGGGCTGACAGCTGACCCGACGCAGACGCAGACGCAGCTACCTGAGGGGACTCAGTGGTCAGTGTGTACAGGTCCGACCCCGGCTGCCGAGTAAAGGTAGCCAGGTGGCGACCCATCCGAGCACACGTACAGTGGGTCACACGCTCATAGGCAGGGGTGAACTGGTGAACACCCCCGTCCTGGAGAGCAGAGCCCGCCACCAAGTTCGTAGAGAACGAGGGGAGGTAAAGACCCGACAGGGTGCCGGCCGGAACCGCTGGACAAGGGAGGACAGTGGAGGAGGTCGCAAGGACAGGGCCCCCAGAGGGGTCAGCGAGGGAGATAGCAACTGGCCGAGCTAGCTGCTCAAGGACAGTGCGGTCACGAAAGAAACAGTGGGAAGCACCCGAGTCCAGTGTGAAGGTGTGTAGTGCCTCAGTAGACACAGTACCACCTGGAGCAGCAGACTCACTAGCACCTAGAGCAGCAGCCTCTCCAGGACCTAGGGCAGCAGACGCACTAGCACCTAGAGCAGCAGTTTTACTGGTCCCAATACCCGGGTCGGGCGGTACACTCAGGTAGCAGTCACCCTCAACACTAATAGTCAATGCATACATAGCAGCAAGGGTAGCATCAAAATCAAGAGCAAAGATATCAATTCCCTTCTTAAGCAGATCAGCCCAGCGGGGCAGCTTAGAGGCGTCAGGGAACTGCTCGCGCCAGGCGCCGTCGAGGCGAAAGAAACAGCGCTGCGCCGTGTGAAACCTCCCACAGGTGACGTACGGGCAGGTACCTCCACCCCCAGACCCCCCACGATGAGAGTACCACTCACGGAGCTGCTGGGACGACGGGGTCTCGCTGGGACGCTGCTGCTGCTGCCTCTGGCCATCTCCAATCCCCCCACGCTGCACCGCTCCACCGCGCTCGCCACCGGCTCCACCGCCGCCACCACTGCCACCACCACCCCCGCCACCCCCGCCACCGCCGCCGCCACCACCCCCGGCTCCGCCACTGACCCCCCCACCACCAGCACCACTCCCACCACCGCCACCACCCCCGCCGCCTCCACCCCCTCCACCACCGCCGCCCCCGCCGCCACCTCCGCCACCCCTGCCCCCCTTGCCCCTGCCGCCCTTGCGCCTCCCAGTAGGAGCAGACGCAGCCACGACCCCCTCAGCACCGAGGTAGTCGACAGCAGCAGCAGATGCAATGGAGGGGAGGAGGGGGACGGGGGAGCACCCCTCAAAGAAGGGGGCGCGAGGGTCGCCACGAGAGGCACCTACAGCTACAATGCTCTTCTCAGCTGCTAGGAGTTCCTTCTCGAGGAGGTCGACAGTGAGGTCAGTAGGGGAGAGGGCGAGAAAGTGGTCACTGACAGTGCAAAGGGAGTCAGGGAGGCGGGTGACTAGGTGGTAGAGTGTGAGGTACATCGGGGGAGGGTTCTTGGCTAGGAAATCGGGGGGAAGCGCGGCACGGTAGCGAAGATCACTAGTACGGAGGTGCGTGATGAGGTCAGCTACAGTGGCAAAAGCAGATAGATCGGGGAAGAGATAGGGCAGTGAGAGAGGGCCTATCGCAGCAGTAGCAGGGGAGGAGTAGCGTGCAACTACAGCGTCGTACAGCTCCTTAGCGGTCTTATGCTGGCCAAAGTGCTCGCGCTCATCTAACGGTAGGTGGCTGCGAACGGCTAGGCGAGCATGAGCGTCACGGGTCTGCCACTGTGAGCGAGCAGTGCTATTAGCAGTAGCAGCAGGTGCGGGAGCGGCACCAGACGTGTGGTCAAACAGGGAAACATCGTCCTTGGCAGTGATCTGGAGGAATAGGTGCAGGTCATCGAGCCAAACGTCAAACTTAATCGGACGGCCCTCAGAGTCAAACGTGAGAACGGTAGGACTAGCCATAGTGGCAGTAGCAGTAGCAGCAGTAGCAGTAGTAGCAGTAGCAATAGCAGTAGTAGCAGTAAGAGCAGTAGCAGTAGCAGCAGGAACAGGAACAGCAGTTGCTGCAGGTGGGGCGGCGCAGCTCGGTCAGGGCGGCGCGACTCGGGCGGCGCGGCTCGGGCAGGTAGGGCGGCGCGACGGCGGGCCTATGCTCCGTGCGCGGTGGCGCCTAGGGTGCGGCTGCGTGCGGGCCGCGGCTGCGTTCGTGCGGCGGCTAAGCGCTAGCTGCAGCAGCCGACGCGCGATCGCCGTTGCGCGCGGGCTGCGACCTGCGGGCGGGCGGCGGTGGGTCGAGCGTCGGCCTAGGGGTGAGCGGGGCCTACGGGCGACGGCCTGCTGGGGCTCGCGAGAAAAAATCGGGCCGCCCTAGGCGGCTAACGAGCTACTCGCGCTAAAAACGCGGGGCCGCGCTTGGGCTGCTAGCGGGCTGCAAACGAGCAGCGTGAGAGGAGGGCGCGCGAGGGCGCACTAGGAGAGAGGCGCACGAGGGCGCTAAGACAGTAGAGCGCACGAGGTCACCTCTAGCGGAACGGTGGGCCCTTAGGTAATCGGTCCTAGGTCCCTAACCTAGGCTCTTAATACCATGTCAAGAATGAGAAGTGGTCGTGACTGTGTCCTAGGTCCCTAACCTAGGCTTTGGCACGGCGAGTGGTCGTGACTGTGTTTTTCGTGGAGCGTCCGACGTGGTGGGCAGCAACCTGTGAACATACATAGCGGGTAGATACAAAACAGGGTAGAGATGTAGGTTTGCGACGACGACATATGGGTTTCTGCCCCCAAGCACCCTTTTACCATCCCCCATCCCTCACTCTCGAGTCCCATCCCCCATCCTTCTATTCACTAAACATACCCCTTCGCACACCCCTAATTGTTCCTGTCCACATCCACCGGTCCCTCTCACACATGGCTCCACGAGTTGTGGCCCCCATTTCCTACTCACCCACCTCCCCCTCTCAGTTGCAGCCCCACAATACTCTCACCAACATACATGTTTTGCATTTCCGTGTGGTCCGCCGCACACAACTCAACCGTCTTGTCATTCCCACTGGAGTTTTCAACCACATGTGGTCCAAGATCACCACCTCCTGCGTCTCCAGACCCGCCCTCCACGCTCTCGCTCACCCTCAGCCCATCGCCCGCAACGGGAAGCTCATCTGGTGGGGGTACGACGTCGCCACCCTGGTCTGTTGATGCTCCGCCTAGTCCCTCTTGAGTTGCATTAGGGATCAAAAAGGCCATGTAGACAAAGGATATTCATAAAGAATGTTTTAGGAGCTGCCCAGACCGTCGTGCCATCAACTACCCGCTTGTTTGATCGTCATGTACTCGATCCCTTTCCTCTTTCCACCATGCCCGAAACCCTTGTCGGGCTCCAGCTGTCCTTAACCATTCTTTGTGTATGTTGGTAGGTTGAACTCGTAGCTTTGCATGGGGCTGGCGTTCCTTTCGAGCACCTCTTTTACAATGGCATCATCCCCCTTGATCATGTTACAGAAAGCGCTCTTTTGTTCGTCGAGTTGCATTTTTGCAGTAGCGATGGCAACATCTCCATGAACTCCTGGAGTAGCATCAAAGCACAGAGGTGTACGAAAAGGTAATTTAGCCAGTTCGGACAGTAGAGGTTGGGGTGCAATGATATGCCTGTCCACCAATTCTCGTCTCCTCAGCGTTCATATTATCGATGCGTGTACCCTTTTTAATCAATGTTGGGGCACATCCCTCATTTCAAGCACTTACTCCAATACCCCCCCCCCCCCCCCGTACCTGACTTGGCGGCAGAATTGATCATGGTCACCACTGCCTCACTAGCTTCGGAGGCTAGCACATACAGCACGTTGTTTGCACTTGCGACGTGCACTCTTCCTCTCAGTGTCGTCAATCTACACCGCATGAGCGCCATCGGGATTCGCATATGTTTTCCAAGGGATACGTTTCGCTGTTTCCACTTCCCCATTATTTGTTATGAACGGATGCTCCCCCTCTCCACCCTCATTGTCATGGAGGGCGGTTGTGATTTCCGACACGGCCTCCACATGTGGCGGAACTGGTGGTTGTTAGGTAGGGGAACATGGAACAACATGGATGTGGAATGCTTCGGTGTTGAAAACGCAAGGGTGGTGCGTGATAGCAGGGAGATCTGAGGTGGGGTGAAGGGGTATCCATGCCCTCCTATGATCGGGAATGGGTGGTGCGCGCTAGCATGAATGTGCGGAAGTGCAGTGAAGGAGCAGCTCTGCCCTCCTACGCTCCTCTGTTGGTGGGGAAATGGGGGCGCATGGAAACAGGGAAGGCGGATGTGCAATGGAGCAGCTCTGCACTCCTATGCCCCTCTGTTAGCATGCTAACGGTGGTGCGTGAAAGCAGGGAGGGTGGGCTTAGGTGCAGTAGTCGAGTAAACCTGCCCTCCTATGCTCCTATGTTGGAAAGGATAGGGTGGTGCGTGATAAGCAGGGGGGGCTTTGGTGGGCTGAAGGAGTAGCTCTGGGCTCCTTTGCTCCTCCCTTTCCCGAAAAAAGGGTGGTGCGTAGTAGCATGGAGGGAGGGTGCTCGTTGCAGTGTACGAGTAGCTCTACCCTCCTGTGCTCGTCCTGTAGGGTGGGAACTGGCGCTACACGAAAGCAGGGAGCACCGAGGTGGGGTGAAGGAGTAGCGATGCCCTTTTGACAACAACCCCCGTCCCACTATGCCCTCATCTCCTCCTCCATCCCCCATCCAACTCCCTTCCCAGCCTAACCTCACCCTCCTTCCCCTTCACACCCACCTCCCTTCCCCCCTCTGCCTTCACCTCCCTTCCCTACCCCGCAGCCCCTCCCTTCCCCCGAAGACTTCAGTTCCGTTCCCCCTCTGACCTCAGCTCCCTTCCGCCTCTCTCAACACCTCCCTTCCCACTCTGCCCTCGACTCCTTTTCCCCTGCTGTCCTAATCTCCCTTCCCCCATCTGCCCTCAACGCAGCACTCCCCTTCTCCCCCTGTCAGCACCCTGCTTCCCCCTCTCGCAGCACCTCAACTCCATCATACGACATGGCATCCCTTTCCATCGCTCACAACACCTCCCTCCCACCCTCCAACCTCACCTTCCTTCCCCCCTCGGACCTCACCTCTATCAACCCTAAACCCTCATCTCCCTTCACCTTCTGAAAGCAACCCCCTTCTACATCTGCCCTCAAATCCCTTAACCCATGCTCACACATCCCTTCCCTCCCTTTTAGCACCCTCCTTTCTCCACTCATTGCACCTCAACTCCCCCTTCTGACGTGACTTCCCTGCCTCTTCTGAGTTCACCGCCCTTTCCACTCTGTCCTCACCTGCCTTCCCCCTCTGCCCACACCTCCTTTCCCCCTATTTCCTCACCTCTTATCCCTCATATTACCAAGTCTCCTTTCCCCCTCTGACAATAATCCCTTCCCCCTCTGCCCTCAACTCCTTCCCCCTTCCTTTATCACCTCCCTTCCTCGTCCGACATCACCTCCCTTCCCCCACTCACTGCACCTCCCTTCCCCCTCCCACAGCATCCCCCTTCCTAAACCCACAGCACCTCACTTCACCATTTGGCCTACCATGCCATCCGTCCTCTCTCAGCTCCACCCGCCATCCCTCTGATGCGACTTCTACCTCCCTTCCCCCTTCCCTAAACCCCCCTTCCCCCCTTTGTCCTCACCTCCCTTCCCATTCATCGCACACCTCCCTTCCCCCCTTTGATCTCACCTCCCTTCCCCCTCTCACGACACCTCCCTTCACCCACTGCAATATCCTTTTTTCCCCCTCTGACAGCATCTCCCTTCCACTTCTGACAATACTCCCTTCCCCCTCTGCCCGTACCCCCCTTCCCCCTCCCGCAGCACCTCCCTTCCCCCCCTTTCAGCACCCTCATTCCCCCTATGACAGCACGTGACTCCTCCTTTGACGTGACCTCCCTTCCATATCTGAAGCCACTCCCCTTCCTCCTCGGCCATCACCCCTCTGGCCCCTAAACCACCTCCCTTCACCCTCAGCCATCACCTCTACTCCCCCTTCTGACCTCATCTCCCTTCCCCTCCTGACAGCAACCCCCTTCCCCCTCGGCCCTCACCTCCTTCCCCCCCCCCGCAGCACATCCCTTCCCCCCCCTTCAGCACCACCCTTGCTACTGTCACCACAACTCATCAATTACCCATCTGACATGACATACCCTCCTCCTCCGACCTCACATCCCTTCTCCATCTGACATCACCTCCCTTCCCCCTCTCGCTGCACCTCTAAACCACCTCTCACTGCACCTCCCTTCCCCATCGCAGTGTAACTCCCTTCACCCTCTCAAAGCACCGCCCTTTCTATACCCACAGCCCCTCACTTACCCCTCTGGCCATCCCCTCCATCCCTCCTCCTTCAGCTCCCCGCTTCCCCCTTTGACGATTCATCCATCCACCCTCTGACCTCACAACCCTTCCCCTTCTCAAAAACCATCCGTTCTCCCTCTTCCAAATCCTCCCTTGTCCGTTTGACCTCACCTCCCTTCCCCCTCTCACAGCCCCTCTCTTCCCCCTCTGACCTACCCCTCTCACTGAACCGCTCTCTTTCCCCTCTTACAGCATCCCCCTTCACCCTCTCACCGGACCTCCATGCCCCCTATGAAGTGACCTCCCTCCCCCCTAGACCTCACCTACTTTCCCCCGCTCACAACACCTGCCTTCCCCCTCTAACCTCGCCTCTTTCTCCACTCCTGTCGTAATCTCCCTTCCCCCTCTCACTGCACCTCCCTTCCCCATCTCACAGCACCACCTCTCCCACCCTCACAATACCCGACTTCCCCCTCTCCCCTACCCTTCCCTCCCCCCTTGGCCTGCACCTCCCCTTCCCCGCATGACGTGGCTTCCCTTACCCGCCTGACGTGGCTTCCCTTACCCGCCTGACGTGGCTTCCCTTACCCGCGTGACGTGGCTTCCCTTACCCACCTGACATGGCTTCCCTTACCCGCCTGACGTGGCTTCCCTTACCCGCCTGACGTGGCTTCCCTTACCCGCCTGACGTGGCTTCCCTTACCCGCCTGACGTGGCTTCCCCTCCTCGCCTGACGTGGCTTCCCTTCCGCGGCTCACGTAACTTCCCTTCCGCGCCTCACGTGACTTCCCTTCCCCGCCTCGCGTGACTTCCCTTCCCCGCCTCATGTGACGCGGCGGTGATGTGTAGAGCAAGTCGCATTCCTCTCTGTGTTCATTAGTTACGCGCCGCATGTGTGCGCATGACAGCACTGTCGCGCCGTCTTTCCGCACCACTGTGTGGTGATGCTTGTGTCAAATATTATATCTGCTACAGTTTGTTTAGGCTGTAGTGGGGTAGTTACTATGGGGTACAATACGTTTAGGGTTTCCTACTTGTACCCAACCATTTCCTAGTGCAAACACTTCTCTCATTCTGACACGGTATTACGAGCCTAGGTTAGGAACCTAGGACCACTTACCTAAGGGCCCACCGTTCTGCTAGAAGCGCACTAGAGCGCCCTATTGACTTAGCGCCCTCGTGCGCCTCTCTGTTAGTGCGCCCTCGTGCACCTCTCTCTCTCTCCCGCTGCCCGTGCGCAGCTCGCTAGCCCCGCGCGCGGCCTTTTTTTTAGCGCGCGTAGCCCGCTAGCCGCCCGCGCGCGGCCCAAGTCGCGCGCGCGTCGACCGTTAGCCGCCCGCACGACCAGCGCCGCCCACGAGCAGCCCGCTAGCCGCTTGTCGACCGGCCCTGCTGGCCGTCCAGCGCACCGCAGCCCCACCCGTAGGCCGCCGCGTCGCCTTTGTAGGCCGCCGCCCGCGCGCGACTGCAGCCCACGCACAGCCGCGGCCCGTACGCTACAGCCACACACGCGCAGGCCCACCGTCGCGCCGCGCCGCGTAGCCTAGTCCGAGCTGCGCCGCGCCGCCCTAACCGAGCCGCGCCGCCCTGACCGAGCCGCGCCGCCCTGATCGAGCCGCGCCGCCCTGACCGAGCCGCGCCGCCCTACTGTGCCCCACCTGCAGCACCTGCTGTTCCTGTTCCTGCTACTGCTACTACTGCTACTGCTGCTACTGTTCCTACTACTGCTACTGCCACTATGGCCAGTCCTACCGTTCTCACTTTTGACGCTGAGGGCCGTCCGATTAAGTTTGACGTTTGGCTCGATGACCTGCACCTGTTCCTCTAGATCACTGCCAAGGACGATGTTTCCCTGTTTGACCACACGTCCGGCGCCGCTCCCGCACCTGCTGCTACTGCTGACAGCACTGCTTGCTCACAGTGGCAGACCCGTGACGCTCATGCTCGCCTAGCAGTTCGCAGCCACGTGCCGTTAGATGAGCGCGAGCACTTTGGCCAGCATAAGACCGCTAAGGAGCTGTACGATGCTGTAGTTGCATGCTACTCCTCCCCTGCTACTGCTGCGATAGGCCGTCTCTCACTGCCCTATCTCTTCCCCGATCTGTCTGCCTTTGCCACTGTAGCTGACCTCATCACGCACCTCCGTACTAGTGATCTTCGCTACCGTGCCGCGCTTCCCCCCGATTTCCTAGCCAAGAACCCTCCCCCGATGTACCTCACACTCTACCACCTAGTCACCCGCCTCCCTGATTCACTTCGCATTCTCAGGGACCACTTTCTCGCCCTCTCCCCCACTGACCTCACTGTCGACCTGCTCGAGAAGGAACTCCTAGCAGCTGAGAAGAGCATTGTAGCTGTAGGTGCCTCTCGTGGCGACCCTCGCACTCCCTTCTTTGAGGGGTGCTCCCCCGTCCCCCTCCTCCCCTCCATTGCATCTGCTGCTGCTGTCGACTACCTCGGTGCTGAGGGGGTCGGGGCTGCGTCTGCTCCTAGTGGGAGGCGCAAGGGCGGCAGGGGCAAGGGGGGCAGGGGTGGTGGAGGTGGCGGCGGGGGCGGCGGTGGTGGAGGGGGTGGAGGCGACCAGGGTGGTGGCGGTGGTGGGAGTGGTGCTGGAGGTGGGGGGGTCAGTGGCGGAGCCGGGGGTGGTGGCGGCGGCGGTGGCGGGGGTGGTGGCGGGGGTGGCGGGGATGGTGGTGGCAGTGGTGGCGGCAGTGGAGCTGGTGGCGGGCGCTGTGGAGCGGTGCAACATGGGGGGATCGGCGGTGGCCAGAGGCAGCAGCAGCAGCGTCCCAGCGAGACCCCGTCGCCCCAGCAGCTCCGTGAGTGGTACTCTCAGCGTGGGGGGTCTGGAGGTGGAGGTACCTGTCCGTACGTTATCCGCACAGGTGACCGCACTGGCCAGACCTGTGGGAGGTTTCACACCGCGCAGCGCTGCTTCTTTCGTCTCGACGACGCCTGGCGCGAGCAGTTCCCTGACGCCTCTGAGCTGCCCCGCTGGGCTGATCTGCTTAAAAAGAACATTGATATCTTTGCTCTTGATTTTGATGCTATCCTTGGTGCTATGTATGCATTGACTATTAGTGTTGAGGGTGACAGTTACCTGCGTGTACCGCCAGACCCGGGTATTGGGACCAGTGAGACTGCCGCTCTAGGTGCTAGTGCGTCTGCTGCCCTAGGTCCTGGTGAGGCTGCTGCTCTAGGTGCTAGTGAGTCCACTGCTCCAGGTGCTCTTGCGTCTGCGCCTGCTGGTACTGCGTCTACTAAGGCACTACACACCTTCACACTGGACTCGGGTGCTTCCCGCTGTCTCTTTCGTGACCGCACTGTCCTTGAGCAGCTAGCTCGGCCTGTTGCTGTCTCCCTCGCTGACCCCTCTGGGGGCCCGGTCCTTGCGACCTCCTCCACTGTCCTCCCTTGTCCTGCGGTTCCGGCCGGCACTCTGTCGGGTCTTTATCTCCCCTCGTTCTCTACGAACTTGGTGGCGGGCTCTGCTCTCCAGGACGGGGGTGTTCACCAGTTCACCCCTGCCTATGAGCGTGTGACCCACTGTACGTGTGCTCGGACGGGTCGCCATCTGGCTACCTTCACTCGGCAGCCGGGGTCGGACCTGTACACACTGACCACTGAGTGAATAGTCGCTTATTCGGTTGTCGCTTGAATAGTCGAACCTCCTTCCTCACGCCTCATACCTCGTTGCACCGCGACGATGTCGCAAACAGGATCTAAAGCAGCCGCAGGAGTCGCAGGAGCCGCAGGAGTCGCAGGAGCCGCAGGAGTCGCAGGAGTCGCAGGATTCGCAGGAGTCGCAGAAGCCGCAGGAGTCGCAGCAGTCGCAGGCGACGAGCAGGTCGCCTCCACGGCGCTGATCCCCGCGGGAGACAACCCCACCGCATCGGGGGAAGACGATCCCGCCGCTTTCGCGGGAGACACCCCCGACGCTTCCGCTTCGCTCGATCGAGCCGATCTCGCCACGCAAGCGTCGACGGTGCCGTTGGATTCAGAACGGCGGGATCCGGTAGAATCAGAAGCAGCGGCAAAGCCCGGGGATGTAGGGATCCGCCATCCCATTGTCCCGTGCGGGGGTCTCAAATCTGCCGCGCATTCCATCCCCGAAGCAGACATCCCCGTTTTAAGCAGCATGGGAAGCACGTTCGGCGCTTTCACCCCCGGCTCCGTTCCTCAGGACGGACTCTTCTTACCCACCCTACCGCAGGTTCAGGTAGACTTCCCGCCGGGCCACCTGGTCCGGACGACGAGCCAAGACAGCAGCGTGGCGGCCACGCTCAGCAGCCCGACAGGAAGCATAATGTCGCTGGATCAATTCTCCACGTGCTCGTCTATCCCGCCCTACCACATGTCGCCCGCGCCTTCCTTCACCTCTGATCAGCCTATGGCGGACTTAGCGGGAACAGGCCTCGTTACAAGCAGACTCGGTATAACGAGCAAGGCGCTGTTTTCCAGCCCCGGGGAAAAGCCATCAGGGGGGCAGTCGGCGGGCCTGGCGGAGCGGGAAGCAGGGGGGAGCAGGTTCGGCGGGGCAGGCGCAACCTACCCTGCTGCGCCCACCGTTCAGACGCTCGTCGTGGTTCGGCACGCCGAGCCTATTGACGAGCAGGACGATGGCTGGGCAGCAGGCTCGGACCGACCCTGGGACCCGCCGCTGTCCGCGCGAGGCGCCAAGGCGGCGGAGGAGGTCGGGCAGGCACTCAGGGCGCTGGGCTTTGGCGCGGCGAGGGGTGGCGGGGGGAAGGCGGTCGACGAGGGGAAAGCACCGGCGGAAGGGCAGCAGGAAGGGGAGGGGGAGAACGAAAGGGAGGGCAAGAAAGAGGGCGCTGTGATGCGCGTGGTGGTGTCGCCGTTTCGCCGCTGCGTGCAGACGGCCGTTCACCTAGTGGCGGGGCTGCTGAGCTCACGCACGGGGGTAGGGGCGGAGGGGGAAAAGGGGGAGGCGGACAGCGTAGGCGAGGGGGCGGTGGCGTCGGAGGGATTGCAAAGGGCGGAGGGACAGGCCCAATTGGAAGCTTCGCTTTCGGGTGTCACTGTCACGGTGAGGCGCCTAGCCATCTCCCTCCTGCATTCCTTCCCCCGTCCCCGTACACCCCCCCTCCCCCCCTCTGCTCCTCCTCTCCATCCCCCGTCACCTCATCTCTCTCTTTCCCTTCTCTGTCCTCCCTTCCCCCTCGTTCCCTTCTCTGTCATCCCATCCCTCTCTCCTCGCATCCCTCTCTATCCCGTCTCTCGCTGCTCCTCCTCGTTCTCCTCTCTGTCCCCTAGCTCCCCAACTCTCACCACTCCCCGTCCTCCGTCCCAGCTCCCCTATTCTTGCCGAGCCCTCACTCGTGTTTCCGCTTTTTCCTCCCTGGGCCCCTACTCATGCCTTTCTCCTTTCCTTCTTCCGCCAACCCCGCCGCCCCTTTTCCCCCGCTTCCGCCCACAGGTGTCATTCACCCCCGCCCTGGCTGAGGTGATGAACACACGAGCCCTGAGGCGCTGCATGGAGGAGCGCCCACCAGCGGCGTCCATCCCACACAGCAGCGTGGCGGAGCATGCAGGGCTGGCGGCAGCAGTGGAGGCAGCAGCAGCAGAGGCGCGCAGCAAGGGGTGGGTTCTGGGGGAGGGCGACCTGAAGGCGCTCTTTCCCCCCGGCACCACCTTCTTGCCGCTCCCTGCGTTCTCTAGTGCTGGTGGCGCTACTGCTGCCCCTGGAGAGGGGAGGGCAGGCAGGAGTGTGCATTCTGAGGTGAGCTGGCACACGCACACCACTGTGCATGCCATGCATAGCCTTGCATGGTTGCCCACCATCTTACCCATTCTACGGGTGGTACAGCCTGGAGGGCATTCCGGAGAGCATCGGCGCGCTGAAGGAGTTGAGCCGCCTGCACCTGCTCAACATCTCGTGCGCGCTGCCCAACGTGGGGAAGGAGTGGCGCAAGCTGGAGGAGGTGCACCTGGAGGAAGTCAGCGCGGACCACCTTCTGCCCATCTCCATCGCGTCTCTCGCGCTCCTCACCATCCGCCGGTGCCGCTTCCTCCGTGCCCTCCCCGACGACATCGACACGTCGTCAGCCCTTCGCGAGCTCGAAATCGTCGATGCGCCTCTCACCTCGCTGCCGCGTCGATCTGGATGCTGACGTCACTGGAACGGCTGGTGCTGGCGCCGTACGGGTCGTTAAGGGCGCTGCCGGCCGCACTGCTGTATGCAACTCGGGGCGCGGCTGGAAGCGCCCTCAACGACCCGTACGGCGCCAGCACCAGCCGCTCTAGTGACGTTAGCTTCCAGATCGACGCGGCAGCGAGGTGAAAGGCGCCTCGACGATCTCGAGCTCGCGAAGGGCTGGCGCCGTGTCGATGTCGTCGGGGAGGGCGCGGAGGAAGCAGCACCGGCGGAAGGTGAGGTGCGCGAGAGACGCAAGGGAGATGGGCAGGGGGTGGTCTGCGCTGACTTCCTCCAGGTGCACCTCCTCCAGCTTGCGCCACTCCTCCCCCACGTTGGGCAGCGCGCACGAGATGTTGAGCAGGTGCAGGCGGCGCAACTCCTTCAGCGCGCCAATGCTCTCCGGAATGCCCTCCAGATGCGAGTGCTTGCCCACACCGCTGTACACCTGGTGTCTTGTGTGCACACAAGCACACCATTTGCACGCAAATGCATTCGCACATGCATGCTCGCATAATTACCATTTCCTTCCCTTCCGCCTGTACACTCTCTTCCTCATGTCCCTCGAGAGTGCACGCGATCGCTTCATGCTTGCCCATTATCCCTCCCTTTTTTTCCCATCCCCTCATCCCCTCGCCCACTACCAGTTCCCCATCTTCCCGGAATCGCTCGAGAGTGCACGGGAGCGTTTCATGCAGGCCTTTGATGACGTGGCAGCGCTCTTCCCCAGCGACAACATCCTCTGCGTGACACATGGCGACGCCGTAGCGGCCAGCGTGGAACGCTTAGCGCCCGTCACCGTCGTCGCTGTCGATTTCTTCGGCTACTCCTGGTCGCAGCGCCGTGCTGCACCGCTCTACACCCATCCCAACCGCCTCCACCATGATTCTCACCACTCGCACCACCATGCCTCCCTGCCGCCACTGCCCCCGCCCCCGCCCCCGCCCCCCACTCCTGCGAACGAGCCTGAGAGTCTTGATGGTGAGGAGGCAGGGGTGGGGGGATCCAGACAAACTGTGTCAGCCAGTTTTGCCGCAGCTGTAGTAGCAGCAGGTTTGGAGACCGAGGCTGCTGCTGTGGCGGCGGCGGCTATAGCGGCTGTAGCGGCTGTAGCAGGGCTACAGATTAGCAGACGAGGTGGGCTGGGTGGTGTGGTGGAAGAGGGGGAAGAGGAGGTGGAAGGGGAGGAAGGTGGGGACGGTTCGGACGGCAGGAGTGGGGGAAAGCAGGGGGCGTTGAGTGACAGTGTGGTGATTGTAGGGGGGTCGACGGCTTCTGATATAAGCACGCACGAGAGTGAGGACGACGATAAGGACACAGTAAACAGCAGCATTGACGTGGGGCCTTCGCTCTCCGAGGTGGCTGAAGGGGATGAGGAGGGGGAGGAGAGGGGGGCGGGGGAGGAGGGAGAGGAGGTGGGGAGTGAGAGCGGGCAGGAGGGGTTGGGAGGGAGAGGGAGAGGGGAGGCGAGGAGGGGGGGAGGGATGGAGGTGGGGGAGTGGGAGCTGCTGACGAGTTCCGGGTCCACTGGAGTGTGCTGGATCTCCAACATCGCTCTTGCTGCAAGGGATGATGAAACACCCACCAAGGGGCTGGCTTCCTAGTGTGCTCGCTGATTGAGGCGTCTCGCAAGTCGTGTGCTAGTGTGTGCTGAATATCTGCTGGAACTTCAGTAAGTGCTGTCCGGGACGATGAGATAAAACCAAGGGCCTGGCTTCATAGTGGTCAATGCACCAGTTGCAGCTTGCTGTTCGCTCCTTGCTGCTCACTGCGTGCGCCTGTGCCAAGGGTTTCGAGCATGCTGTGGTGTATTGCTCGAAGTGTCGTCTATATATTTCTATCTTGTGGGTTGTGGAAATGAAGTAACAATTTATTATCAGCTAGACACCTGTGATGTGTCTTGGAGATACAGACATTATAAACTTTGTTAGCTTCTTTTGTGTAATCCTCGTTAGTAGTAGTCTATAGGGTCTAGGTCAGGCCTTGTTCTTTAAGTGTAAATTACCCTGATACACTGATGTCTGTTGGGAACAAACAATCTTAAAGCGCCTCTGTCGTATCGAAACACCAAGGCACAAGCGAAGCAGAGCATATCGAGGCACCAGCGAGTCAACCCTCGGAGGTTGAAGTAACCGCTGGAGGTTACGCGAAAGTCAAAGGTCAGCGACCTTTGACTTGACAAATGCAGCGCGACAGCAAGGACACACAACTGACTCGACATTGAGCAGTTGCCCGAGTCGCACTGTATCGAACCGCAACAGTAAAACAGTTTAATTATATCTCTTCGTATTCTTTGTACTCTTATATAAACCTTTGTACTTGCTTGTTTTAATCAACTTACTTTGCCCTCACATACCAGCGCAAGGTGGTTCAAGGACTTCATTTAAACGCTTCCGCTACTACATCACTCTACCCAGAGTTTAACCCTACCAAAGATCCTAAGGGGCACTTATTTCCAACATGGTATCAGAGCAAGAGTTCCAATCCTTGGAACCTGTGATAATTTCTACAAATGGGCCCACCACCTGAATCATCACCAGGAGCATCTTCAGGAGCAGGTTCGACCTGCCACTTCCCACGGAGCATTACGTGGAGGAAATCTTCAACGCACCGTCGCATCATTTTGGGCGACTCAGCAAGACGAATTTCAAGGAGTTACAGCAAGTCCCTGGCAAGGACTTCACAACTTCAACCCGGCAAGATTGCAGCTCTCCTCGTTTCTACACTTCTAACAGTGGAGGGGAGTGTTGAGAATATGTTTGTATGCTTTTATTATAAGTGCACTGTTCGAAGTGTGCTTACAGGGGCTCGCCACAGCGAGGGATTTGAACCTGGTGGCGATTCAACGGGCCGCAACCGAACACAGCGGTTGCAACCCGCGTGGCAGCTCAAGAGTCGAATCGACAGCAGGAGTCATCGTCTACAGTACGCGAAACTGACCTGTGGGGCGCGGCAGGATACCGCGCCCTTGCCGAAGCTGAAAAGTCTCGCCAGCGCGACTGTAACAAGGCAACACAAGCGACGCAGCGCAACTGTTATACAGTTGCGCCTTGGTAACTGTTTGCCCTATGCGTTTGCTATATAACAGAATGTAATGCCTTACTCATATTACACAATTCTCAAGCTTGTGTCCGGCCTACCCTCGGCCGCTGCTTTGGCACCACGTTACAAGCCAGGAGAGCTACCTCTGAGTGACCAATAGCCCCGCCGTAGGGACGTCGTTAATTCCTAGAGCTTCCGCTGCGCTCTAACGACTTCTTATTTCCAACATGAGAGCTGGTTAGGGTTAAAATTATCTCTCCTTAACACCTAATACACCAAGAGACATGTCTACCAGAAAGGAGAGGAGCTCCTCCAACGGCTCTCCTGGTACTACTCCTACTCCACCTCCTGCCTCTGGCCTACAGACAGAGGAAGGCACAACAACGAGACCAGCAGATGGGTCTACTGAAACACCCGCAAACCAAGGCGCGGGCTTCGATCCAAGCATGATGGAGAAGTTCTTCTCCTTCATGTCCTTCTACGAGCAGCATCAGCAAGGAGCACCTGCGCAATCAAACAACAGCAACAACAACAACAACGTGACGCCCATGAGTCTCGATGGCTCATCCTACGCACGCGGGAATCAACAACAGCAACCTACCTTCGCTCCGTACGAGCCCCAGCGCGGCTCCGTCAGCTTCATGCCACAACCACAACCTGCACCGGGCCAAGAGAGAACGCTGGACGCACTACAAGTTCAGTCGCAGTTCGCGCACGTTCTAAAACTGCAAACGACAAAACCCTTCGACGGGAAGGATTTCTTTACCTGGTCGTTCGAATTCGAGCTGATGATGGAAGGAGCGCAAATCCTTGGCTTCTTCGACGGGTCCCTGCCATACCCAACAAACGGCACACAGTATGAGAAGCACCAGTACACCTATCAATCGATGATGGCGTACACGATACTACTGAGGAACATCACTCCAACTCAACAACAAAACATACGGTCTTACTGAGGCTACGGCAACTCTACGGAGCTCGCGTACAATCACTTGAAGAACCTGTATCAAGCAACAGACAGCGTAAACCAAAGTCGGTTAATGGCGCAGCTGACAACAATCGAAATGAAACCAGGCGAGAAGGGAATGGCGTATATCAGTCGCTGCCGCGAGCTGCGCGACAAGCTTCTTCGATGTGGAGGATCGATTTCAGAGGACGCCTTCGTCACGGTTGTCATCGGCGGTCTTGGTCCTCACTGGCGCTCCACTCGCGCCATACTACGAGCCCACGGGAAAATTTCTGAAGCAGCACTTTGCGCCGAAATCCACGCCGAGCAGCAAGACATGGACCTGCAAGAAGAACGACACAAGAGAAAGGTATCAGTGCCCGAATTCGCGTTTCATACTCAACGGCGCCACAACAACAACAACAATCGACCGAAAATCGTACCTCCGTTCTGCCACCTCTGCAAGACTTCAGGGCATCCTCGTACGCACTGCCCGAATCGACAACAGTCAACGTCGCCGCAACGCCAACTTCGCCCTTCAAGCAGTCAAGTCGCCTCAACGCAAGCAAATCCGACAACTTCAGTACAAGTCTCAACAACATCGACGGGACAACCTGCGAAAGGAACAAGAAACATCGTCAGCTGCATGGCAAGGCTGAGTGACTCCTGCGTAACTGAGTCACCACCATATTACTCACCAGAAGAACAACTCGACAACAGCACGCCTCGCCGCGAGTCACTTCAACCGAACCCGACGTACGCCGCCATCGCTCAAAGCGAGCCGTCCGGGAAGGATACATGGTTCTTGGACAGTTGCTGCGGACAACATATGTGCTCTTCAGGACGTTTCGTTCAACGCGAGCACCAACTTCAACGAGAAGTCGTCATCACTGTCGCCAATAATCAGAACCTGCGCACACGACGACAAGGAGTAGTGCAACTTCAGTCACGAGAGACGAATGTCATACTGCAAATGTCCAAAGTCCTAATAGCAGAAGGACTTGGCTACAACTTACTGAGCGTCAGTCAGTTGATGGCGAAAGGCATACATCTGGAAGCCGACAGTACCACCCAGGAGTTCAAGCTGTACCACGGGAAGGGCGGCCTCTACATCGGAAAGGCGGTCCTGAAGAACAATGTCTTTGTTCTCGATTTCGTCCCAGACCTGGGCACCGCAGACAGTGACGGGATCGTCACCTTCACATCTTGGACGCACCCGCCGGATCTCGACCCCGACTTCAGGCCGGAAGGCTTTTGGTATTCACATACCATTCCTGAAGCAGAACGAACACGTGCGTTAGTAACAATACAACATTCGGCAGCAGCAGAGACAACATCGGCAGCAACAGAGACAACATCGGCAGCAGCAGAGACAACATCGGCAGCAACAGAGACAACATCGGCAGCAGCAGAGACAACATCGGCAGCAGCAGAGACAACATCGGCAGCAGCAGAGACAACATCGGCAGCAGCAGAGACATCATCGGCAGTAGCAGGAACAACAACAGTAGCAGCAACAACGACACCACTCCTCGTTGACGAAGCACCACCAACACCCGCACAGCAGCTGAATCCGGCTCAACGGGAAGTCCATAGAAGCGCAAACTTCACCGCCAGCTTCTACTCCAACTCCGACGCGTATCGACGCTCACCCGGACACCGCGCCTCCGAAGACATCTGGCACGCACGCATGGGACACCCAAGCAACACTGTGTTAAACAACACAATAAGAGCAGGAGTCCTTGACAAGGACTCGTTACTACTACTCGACGGCAGAGAACTTCAACGGGCACGAGGAACATGTCTTACCTGCCCCGAAGCCGACTTACCACATCGGCCGTTCACTCCTCATCACAACCCGAGCACACCCGCGTACGCACCACTCGAAAAGGTGTATAGCGACATCCTGTACAATCGGGAACCAGGACAAGTAATATACAACTACACAATCACCTTCATCGACGCCGCCACCCGTTACGTCTGGCATCTAAACCTACCCAGCCGCGACATGGTCCTCGAAGCATTCGCTGCTTGGCTACCAGTAGCAGAAAGAGAGTCGGGCGTAAAGCTGAAAAGCTTTCAGTCTAACGGAGGAGGAGAATACACCTCTCAGCGATTCAAGCAGTACCTGGCGGAAAGGGGAATCAAGCAGCTCCTCTCTCTTCCCTACGCCCATCAGCAGCAAGGTGTAGCAGAAAGAATGAACAGGACTCTGCAGAACAGCATGCGCAAACTGTTGCGTGGCATGCGGCTACCCAACCACCAGTGGCCTGACGCGATGGACCACGCTGTCATGCTGCACAACTTGCTCTCATCTTCATCACTACCGAACAACGCATCACCGCATCTGCTGTGGACAGGAAAACAGGGCAGCACAAAAATGTTACGAGTGTTCGGATGCATGGTACAGTACCGACCCCCAGCAGCACGAGCGGGCCGATTTTTACAACGCGCACAGTGGGGACTACACCTCGGCATCGAAAAGAACTACAACGCGTGGAAAATCTTTGACGTCCACTCCAAGGAAACAGTAGCAGCACGCGACGTCATTTTCTACGAACGACTCACGCTCCAGACATACCTTGCCAACCTGCAAGAGGACCAAGATCCCACAGG